TCTCTCTCTCTCTCTCTCTCTCTCTCTCTCTCTCTCTCTCTCTCTCTCTCTCTCTCTCTCTCTCTGTGTGTGTGTGTGTGTGTGTGTGTGTCTCGGTGTCTCTGTCTCCATCCCCCAGCCCCAACCCACCCACTTCTCCCTTTGCTCTCGATCTCTCAAACTCTCTCTTCTGTGCATTTGTCTGTGTCCGAATTATCTTGTGGCAAAAGTTCTCAGCCGCTTTGCATTTTCGCGTGTCACTGCAGAACGACACATGTACAATGAGGTGTGTAATAAAGAGAGATGGTTTTGGTAACCTAGTTTCCCTGCTGGCATTCAAGTGAGCTGCTACTCTGCTGGGCCGACAGGTATCTGTCAGTCAGTCAGTCCTCTGTCACAGAGCCACCCGGCTGCGCTGACAGGTATCTGTCAGTCAGTCAGCCGTTTGTCAACACAGCCACTTGGCTGCGCTGACAGGTATCTGTCAGTCAGTCAGTTGTCTGCAGCCACCTGGCCGGGCTGACAGCTATCTGTCAGTCAGTCAGTTTACTTATCTGTCAACGCAGCGACCCGGCTGGTCTGAAAGGTATCTGTCTGAGCTGACAGGTATCTGTTAGCCAGTCAGTCATCTGTCAACGCAGCCACTCGGCTGGGCTGACAGGTGTCTGCCAGCCAGTCAGTCGTCTGTCAACGCATCCACCCGGCTAGGCTGACAGGTATCTGTCAGACGGTCCGTCGTCTGTGAACACAGCCACTTGGCTGGGCTGACAGGTATCTGTCAGACAGTCAGTCGTCTGTGAACACAGCCACTTGGCTGGGCTGACAGGTATCTGTCAGTCAGTCAGTCGTCTGCAACCACCTGTCTGGCTGACAGGTATCTGTCAGTCAGTCAGTCGCTTGTCACCCTGCTGTGCTGTGTGACCATGACCACTTGGCAAACTCCAATACCATCCATCATGGGGGAAAATAGCCCGCTGGGCTAGGGCCAGCGGCCCACCTTAGTTGGTTGAGCATGCAAGTGGTATTTAGGAGGTCGTGGGTTCAATACCCCACTGCGGGCTTGGTGTTTACCAGCTGACATACTTGGCTTCCCCCGCCGCCGCACCCCTCCCCCCGCCCCGCCGGCCTGCGGGCCATCTTGGCGGGAGTCTGGGTTTCCTCACCCTTGCCCCTGCCATCCCTTGCTGGGGATCAGGGGCCTAGGTCTTACTTGCTTCAGAGCGTAGAGTAGATAGCTGAGCCTCCCCTTTCGGTTCATAGACATAGCTTGGCTTTCAGTGCATATGTGGGGGTGAATTGCGCGAGGTATGTAGGTAGCCACTGTGAGGTGGAAAAAATTGAGAGAAGAAGATAGCTTAGTTTTTTTTTTTTTGTTGTACTTGCCTGCTGGGCTATGGAAAAGTCCAGAAATAACCCGCTGGGCTATTGAAAAGAGCAGAAATAGCCCGCCGGGCTATGGAAAAGACCAGAAATAGACCAGTGGGCTACTGAAAAGACGCGATATAGCCTGCTGGGCTATGGCAAACGACGAGAAATAGCCCGTTAGGCTATGGAAACCACAAGAAATAGCCATCTGGGATATCGAAATTACCAGAAATAGCACGCTGCTGGGCAATCCCAAATCCAGGAAATACCCCCCCTGGGCTGTTGAAAAGCCAGGAAATACCCCCCCTGTTGGAAACACCAGAAATAGCCCTCTGGGCTATGTGAAAAGACCAGAAATATCCCAGTGTGCTATAATTGAACAGTCGAGAAACATAGCCCTCTGGGCTTCGCCTATGGAAACGGCCAGATATAGCCCTCTGGGTTATCAAAATGACCACCACAAATACCACGTTGGGCTATGGAAAAGCCCGGAACTAGCCCGCTGGGCTATTGAACAAACCAGAAATAGTCCACTGGGCTATTGACAAAGCTCAGATTTAAATAGCCCGGTCCGATGGGATATGGATGAGATTCTGAAACGGAAGTAGCCAGCGGGCACATGAAGGCAGAATGGACCCAGGGCCTTCACAAAAGGAAGCAGTCAGGTACTTTTCGACAAGCTTAGGGGCTGTTTTCCACACTCAGATTCTTAGCCAGGCTAATTTAGTATAATGTTCTTTTCTTGTTTTTTTCCGGTTTTTTTTTTGTTGTTGTTGTTGTTTTCCTTTCATCGTTCACCATCAGAACACTGAAAAAGAGGAATAGAAAAGAAAAGCCAAGCTCTGACGACTATTATCCACACTGGGGGGTGGGGGGGTGGGGGGGGGTATTTTTATACTCCAGAGCCAAAAAACAGAAACAAGGAGAAAAAGTCAAGTGACCAACCCAGCCCAATGCATGTGGATGAATGCTACACACAATGTCATGTAACTGTTGATGAACAGATCACCAGCTCGCAGCCGCAATTTCATCTGTCAGACGCTTCCCCCACTCAATACATCCCTTGATATGCAGAGGAGTGGAGTTGTGGATGTGTGGAGATGGTGTGGAGATGTGGAGGTGGTGTGGAGGAGGTAAGCAGGACGTGTGGAGGACGTGTGGAGGACGTGTGGAGGACGTGTGGAGGAGGTGTGGCGGAGGTGTCAAGGCATGGAGGTAGTTGTACAGATGAGTTGTGGAATCGAGTGGTTGGTTTGAGCTGTGGGACGGAGTTGTGGAGTTGGGTTGTGTTGTAAAGGAGGGATGTGAAGGAGGAGGTGTGGAGGAGGAGGTGTGGAGGAGGAGGTGTGGAGGAGGAGTGGAGGAGGTGTGAGGGAGGTATGCCGACAGCGACAGGGTGGAGATGATCAGTTCATGTGATGTGTGCAACTGAACTGATCAATACATCAATCGACATAAAGACCGGTGTGATTGATTGATTGATTGATTGATTGATTGATTGATTGGTCGATGACCGGTGTGATTGATTGATTGAGCGCTTCTTATTGGGATTGGTTAATAAGACAAACAACGGTTAATACTCACTGAACGCAGTAATTCCAAGCAATCGGTAAATCAAGAAATCGTTCAACCAGTTTCATGTCACTTCCGCTTCGTAAATCAGGCATGATAGCAATCAGCGAAAAATGTCTGAAGGGAAGGCGCCTAAAAAAATAAAAATAAAAATAAAAAAAAATCCAAAAAGTTCCAAAAAAAGACTATGACACTGTTTTTTATACTTTTTTTCTACTAGGCGCCAATACAAGGGCCAAGCAGCAGCAGAGAGCCATAGCAAACTATGGCCGTACTATCCTTCCCACCGCCCGGGTCACCTTGTTTGCCCGGGCTGCCCGGCTGTGCAAGAACCATAGAAGGTCCCAGCCAAAAAAAAAAAATCAAAAAATTCTGAAAAAGAAAACTATGTTATGCAGAAAATTAAACTGAGCAACTCTTTTTTTTTTTTTCTTTTTTCTTTTTTTTTTTGATGTGTGCTCTGTTTTTTTTTTCTTCTATATAAGCCAGGAAGCGGGCCTGGCGTCCCTCACAAAATTCCATGGTCCAGTTTAAGGGCAAGCCATCACAGGGTCACATTGAAATTCTTTGCCAAATACAAAACAGAAAATAAAATTAAGAAAACATTTCTTTTTACAGAATGCAAGATTTCATATAGCTATCTATATGAATTCTAACATTCTATTTCAAGTATGAATAGAAATAAATTCAAATAATATTAAAAAGAACGTATTACAAACTCTACATAAGAATACTTCTTTAAAAAATATATATATATATATATACAATATATTAAAGGAGAAAAGTACGGCGCAGTCAGGGTTTGAGTTTGTAATTGCACTTGAGGCAAAAGGGCCGGTAAATTATGCTGAATGTATATGACCTACGTTTCGGGTCCGGTGGGGTCGCAAGGGGTTGTGTTGTATTCGCGGGATTGCCTGAAGTGCAATTACACACTGTTTTCGTGACTGCGCCGAAGTTACCCCTATATTAAAATAGATATACAATATATTAAAATAGATATACAATATATTAAAATAGATAATACAATATATTAAAATAGATATACAATATACATATATGATATATGCATATTCTTCAATTAATGACATACCCACTCTCATTCAAATAAGGCCTTGAAAACAAAAAAAAAAAAAACAAAAAAAAAAAAAAGGCCTTGGTGGCGGCCGGGCCGGGCAAGTGGTCCCAGGCCACAGTGGTAGCCTAGTTTTTCTATAAATTTTTAAGGGGGGAAAAAAGGAAAGAGAAGCAAAAATGACCATAAAGTGCGCAGAAGACCTAGAACAAATAAAGTGGATATATGTATGCACATACACATTTAAAAAAATAAAAAGGGCGCCCAAAAAAAAAAAAAAACAGCGCGAAAAAAAAAAAAAAAAAAAATAGAGCGGAGAAGAACAAGTGAACAGCAGAGCGACACGTGGACGAGAGCATACAGACGCATACTGAGGGCATTGTTGAACAGTATAATTACTGATCGCCTGGAGAGGGACGACAAAGGAAGAGGGGGGGTAAGACATGGGGTGAAAAGGGGGGGTAACATGGCGATGAAGGGGTCCTCCTACCCCCCCCCCCCGAGAGATGAAATGACAGAACAAAGAGTGTAGCAGGGAGGGAAGGAGGTCATCCGAGACGTGGGGTCGGGGTAATAACGAATATGAGAGAGCGTCCACGAGGACAACTGCAATAGCAAGTCTATAAACGCAGTGAAGAAAAGTTAAAAAAAAAAAAAAAACGAAAAGGAGATGAAGACGAACACGAAAAAGAAAGTGAAGTAGCAAAAGAATTGACGCCCATAAAGCGGCGAAGGTGAGGGTCACACTTGGAGAAGATGCGAGTAAGAGAAAGGTGGTTGACGACATGTTTTTGTGTAGGGTGGCTCTGTGTGTGTGTGCTGGTGTGGGGGTGATGGGGTGTGTCTGTGTGTTGCCATGTTCGCTATACACCATAATTCCACAAAAAAAAAAAAAAAA